TCTCACCAACACAACCTTGCTGTTTAAAACAGCACCCGGATGGTAACCTACATCCAAATTGCTTTTTATTCTAAGAAATTAAGGTCTTGTGAGTAAAATTATGCAATTACTGAATTATAATGTTTAGCCATTTTTGATGCTGTAGATAAATTTTATTATTATTTACATGGTAATTATTTTACTGTACATACTGATCATGCTGATTTAGTTTGGCTTAAGGAATATTAAGCATCCTACAGGTGGGTTATTTAGATGGTCTATAAAATTATTTATGAATGATTTTGATACAAAATATGAAAAAGATTCTACTAATATTGAAGCTGATATGTTAATTAGAAATCCTATTTGTCAACATTTAAATTTGCAAGTTAATTTATTATCATTAGAAGAAATTAAAGAGCATCAAAATTTAGATAATGTATGTAATCTTAAGTGTAAGAAAATTAATGATGTGTTAACTATTAAAAAGCAAGGATTATTCAAAATTGTAATAGCAATCTCTCTTCTTACTAAATTACTTGAAAACGTTCATATTTATTTTGGTCATACTGGAAGGAAAGGTCTGCCATGTTTTTCAAACGTTATGACCTTCTATTTTTACGAAGGTCATGGACACACCAGCAGACAAAGTAGAAAGACGTGTTTATAGGCGGTGTCATCACTAGGCACAGTTGCAGATAAACAACAGTGATAGACATGTGTTAATCTTAAATAATACTTATTCTCCTAATGCCACTTGCATTTAGCAAAATTGCGATGAGCTAGGTTTGCTAACTATGACTGCATTATTCATAAAAACCAGTGTGATATTTTGCAAGATCCAGTTTATTGCCCTTGCGTGTTAGCAGAGGTAAGTACCGTTTGCAACTAAAAATTTTTTTTTCAAATAGTTTTTACTTGAAATTATGTTATTTTGATAAATTATGTTGTTTTCTTTACTCTGTTAGCTTTGCACTGATTGTGATATCTTGTTAATGGTGAGTGATTAATGTTGGAAGAAAAATGGTATTAAAGAACTTCAAATGGATGTAAAATAATCTTTTTTCCTTCCTACATCCAAACTGCTTTTTATTCTAGAAAATTAAGGTCTTATGAGCAAAATTATGCAATTACTGAATTTATAACTGAAGTTACTGATTTATTACTGAAGTTATTGATTTATTACTGAAGTTATTACTGATTTACAATTACTGAAGTTATAATAAATTTTAACATAGATTAAGAAGAATAATTACTTGTGTCAAATTAATTAGATAAAAAGAAAATTACCATATTTACGCGAATCTAATGCGTATCGTTTTTGGCCAAATGTAGTATTCAAAATTGGGGTGCGCATTAGATCCGAGTGCAAAGTTCGCCGATGACGTCAGCCAAATTTCTCGACTACATTTACTGTTACATTTATTGTTGACACATTATTGCATAGAGGATACAAACTGCAGAGTACGTAGTCACGAAATGGAGGGCAAACAGAGAAGAATGTCATATGACGCTACTTTCAAACTTAAAGTAATTCTTTATGCTGAAAAAAATGGCAATAGAAAGGCAGGGAGAGAGTTCAACGTATCTGAGAGCAATGTTCGCTTGTGGCGGCAACAGAAATTGGCACTGTTTGCAACTAAAGCTAGTAGAAAGAAATTCACTGGCCCTCGCAAAGGAAGACACCCTAAAATTGAAGAAAAGTTTTGGAATTTGTACGTGAAAGGAGGAAGAATGGACAACCTGTGACTAGTGACACCATAAGAAATAAAGCAAAAGAGGAGGCTGAAGTTCTTGGAATACCGAAACAAGAGTTTAAGGCTAGCCGTGGATGGCTGGATCGGTTTATGAAGCGGATGGGTTTATCTCTAAGACGCCGTACAACAATATGCCAAAAGCTTCCTGCAGATTTTGAGGGAAAACTACTAACATTTCAGCGGTATGTCATCACACTTCGGAAGGAAAAGAATTTTTCAATGGGGCAAATTGGCACCGCTGATGAGACGGCAATTTGGTTTGATATGCCTCGTAACTACACCATTACGGAGAAGGGGACCAAAGAAGTTATCATCAAAACTTTGGGATGTGAAAAACAACGTGTAACAGTGATGCTGGCAATAACAGCAGACGGGTGCAAACTTCCCCCTTTCTTAATCTTCAAATGGAAAACATGCCCTAAAACCCCTAAGAATGAAAAGCTGTTCCCAGATGATGTCCTGATTCGAAACCAAGAGAAGGGGTGGATGACGGAATCATTAATGCTTGATTGGCTCCGAAATGTATGGAAACGCCGTCCCGGTGGCTCTCTAATCCACCATCAGTGCTTTGTCTGGACGCATTTCGTGGTCATCTCACCGACGACGTAAAAAAGAAGATGCACAGCCTAGGCAGTGATCTTGTTATCATTCCTGGAGGGATGACGTCCGTGTTACAACCCCTGGACGTTAGTATAAATAAACCTTTTAAGGGGTACGTTCAGGCGGAGTACGAAAAATGGTTTTGTGAGCCAAACCGTGTATTGACCCCGACAGGAAAAATTAAGCGTGCTGCACCGCACATTGTTGCACACTGGGTTTCTGCTCCCTGGAAAAGCATCGAAGCACCAATGATTGTGAAATCTTTCAAGAAATGCTGCATTTCAAATTAACTGAATGGCAGTGACAATGACGTGCTCAGGAACTCCGAGGATGACGATGACGATGATGAGGAATGAAGAAATGAATCTGCTTCTGACGAAGAGAGCTGCGAGGTTTTCAGTGATGAAAACATTAGTGAATAAAGATGTTTACTATTAATCACTGATTGTAGAAACTGTTAGCTAGATAGAAATGTTACGATTTATTTCATGTTCACATTTTACGATAGGTACCGTATATACGGTAGTGCTAATTAACAATGATTGTTTCACATGACAATAGCCCACTAATAGGTTAATTCTATGTTCTGCTACTTTATGTATAAATCCATTGTTGTATAAAATATGGTATCTAAATTTAAATAAAATTATCATACCATTAATTGATAGTTTATATACAAATCCATTGTTGTATAAAATAAGATTTAATAAATTCCTCATATCATTGATGCGCATTACATTCGCCGACAAACAATTTTTTTATTATTTAAAGTTTTAAAATGGGGATGCGCATTAGATTCGATGGCGCATTAGATTCGCATAAATACGGTAAGTTTAAAATGTTTTTGATCTAAGCAATGGTATTGGTAAATTATATGCATTTAAAGTTCTACAATTAATTTATCAAAATGTAAACTAAAATAAAATGCTTTCGTTATAATTATTAATTGCTGAATTTATATTAATAAGTAAAATTAAAAAATCTAAAAATATTAAACTGATACTGTCATGAACGTTTCAGCTGACTAAAATTAAAATAGGAAACATTCTTAATTTTCTGAAACTTAAACATTTCACAATGAAATGGTCAATTAAACCATTTGTCATCAAAATTTTCATTGATAAATTTTATTTTTTAAAACAATGCTCTAATTTTGAGATGGAGCTTGTGTATTGACACAACTGTTCGATCAGTTACATAGTCTTCGATTAATATTACACTTTTCAAATGAAACGTTTTCAGTTAGAGTTTATGCATTTAATGAATTGCTGAGATTAATCAAACAGTAATATTTTTATGGTGCACAATTAACTATTTTATGTTATATTGTTAAAGTTTTATTACTTCATGTATTTTGACTAATATCGCTATTTTTTAAATTAAAAGAAAAAAAAGTTTACTTATGTACATAATATGTGGTAAAGAAGATTTTACAGTAATAATTTAATATCTTTGAAATAATATGGATATTTTTCAAAGCTGTCTCTGAGATTTAATGGAAAATGTGATAATGCTGTTATGATCAGAAACATTATTTTTTTTTAACCCACATATATAGCTTTACTTTTATTTATGTCTGATTGAGTTTTATTTACTTAAAACCTGCTATTATTGTTATGTATTTATAATAACCACTTTCAAATTACTCTTACTTACATACTAAATGATTAAGAAATGATGAAATCTTAAATAATCAAAACTTACAATTTAAGTTATTTAAAAAATATAGTTTAAAGTACTGAAAATAATTAAAGCTATTATTAATTATGAATATTTATTCTAAAGAGAAAAAGATGTATTATCTTCTGGTTTTCAGGAAATGATAAAATATTTAAACTTTAGAAAAATACAAGGAATACAAAATTTTAAAGAAGAAAAATATATTAATTATTAAGATTATTTTTCTGCATAAATCAATAAGTAAAACAAGGACATAATAATGTTTTCACAACTGTTGCAAAAAGGTGGAAATCTGCAAGCATTTAGGGGTCGTTAATACGTTGTGTTACGATGCTTACACAACCAAAATATAACCTGAGAGAGAGGCAATAACGGCATCTATTCGACAAAAAACCTCATCTGCAAAGATGTAATAAAGACATCTTTGCAACAGTTGCAAATCAGTGGAGTTTTGCGGACATCTGGGCGTCTTAAAGATGACATATAGCAACGTTTTTGCAATGACATCCATGACGAATTTATGATGTTGCCTTACTACTTGGGATTAAACCTACAGTAGCACATACCTTGGAAAAAATGGCAACTGTTGTAAGCCAGGAATAAGTTATATATAGCAAATATGAAAGAATTCAGAGAAATAGATTTTGATGATTAATCAAAAGTTGCAAATTAATTATACTACTGAAAAAGATATAAAGCTATTAAAACATATGCAGGTTTTTATAAATTGTGAATAAACATTGCTTTATACAATATTTTAATTTAAAATTTTAGGAATAGATATCTAGGGCTTTCAGAAGTATAATTTTTTTACAAGAAAGAATGATTATTTCATTAATCCCATTTGGTAATAGAAAAAAAATCATATTTAATAATTTACATCATCTCTATCTTTTAAGCAATGTAAAATCATCTTAAATTTGACGATCCAAAGACAAGAATCAAAAATGCATATATTGAAATTTAAGAGATGAAAATATTTACCTAAAACAATATCGATCTAAGAAACCACCTAGTGTTATGTCATTTGACCCATAATATTCCATTTTCACAACCCTAAAATAGATTATTTGAATAAATCAGGATGTTCAAAGTATTACATAACATGAATATTCAATTTAGCAGCAAAATCCAACAAAATATTGTCAGAAAATATGAGGCCCACCAATTAAAATGAATTAATCATTAAATTATCATTAACTTACCAAGGACTAACACAATAATTAGGTGCATTATCTGAAGCACAAGAATAACTAGAAAAAAGAACTGCTAAACTTTGGTGATTGTATGGATCTAGAGCATCAACCTGGAAAACATAACATTGAAATAAACACTGAAATAAAATTCTATAACAAATTTTAGATTAAAGGAAAAATTACTGAAATATAAAATTTTGAAAAATTCAAGTAGTTTTAACTGTGAATTTTAATAATGGTTTCAACTACCTTAAGAATGAATTTTAATAATGGTAAAATTCTAGAGGGAAAATGAGTACACATAGTACTCAAACATAGCCTTCTATGAAGGTCACTAATATTAAAAATAAACTGGAAGTAGGATATATTCAGTATGCCCTTTTCATATCTCACTTATTAAAAAATATATTAGATATTTCTTGCTTAAAAAAAAGGCTTATATGATCATTTTTTGAAGAAAAACATTATGATATATACTGGCAAAATATAAAACAACTACAAAGTTCAATTTTTAACAGAAATACAAATAATTAGCTTTTTTCATCTCGTAACAGAAACTGAACGTTTCAAACATTAAAAGATATATATTAAAAAGACTTTTTTTTGGAATTTTTTTTTCACTATGCTAACAAATCAAAAATAATTCTCACAAATAATTTTATTCTTATACAGTTTTTAATTTCAGGGTTTAACTTCCAGCTAACTTAAATTTTGTACATTATTAACATCCATATTTTTTCTAATGGATATCATTATTTTCTCGAAAAATACTATGAATGTTTTTGTGAATAAAATTATTTTTTATGACTTTCCTAACTATACACTGATTTCACACAGTTTCCACCCAATCTAGTAACTCATAAAAGTATATTAAAACCACTGAAATGCTGATTCTAAACTCTGTATCTAATAAAGCACAGATCATGGATGACAAATAGGCACATATATCTATCACAAGGATTAATGATATATAATACAGGCATGGATTAATTTGTGATAGTAGCACTTTTGCAGAATGAAGACACTATTGGTTTGAAAATATTTTTGTTTGTCAGGAGCAGGAGGGTACAAGACTCCTGGATTCTATTCCTTGGCTGCTCCTGACCAAACTTAGGCAGCTCGCTCATGTGTTCTCTGTCTAAATTAAATGATACTTCGATTTTATTAACTCAGATAGGATTTCATTTTTCGGCTTTGCATTATAGTGCCAACATTTAAATAGATGGTTAGATTTATGAGCCAATTTCACATTAAATTGAATTGTTAGTCTTTGACTACTAGCTTAACTTTAAATTTGAGCTTATTGTTACTTTAAGTTATATTGCTACAAGGAGATTGCAGAACTGTAAGGATGAATCATGAGTTTATGTTCCAGTTCTGATTTAATAAAAAGGTTTGTTTTAAAACCTTCCAAAGACTTTGCAGGTCAGTTTAGATATTGCAATACTTTGCTTAACATCTGTTAACAGTTTGATACTAGTTTATGCTACCAAAACAAGTCAAATTTTATACATAATTTAGTATTATTTTATACATTGTACATTATTTCAATAAGTAGTATTTTGGAAACAATTTTCCTAATTTTTTATTTCTTATATATAATATACATTTTAAAAGTATGCATAAATGGTATATTTTAGAAGCATACACTAAAAGCTTAACATATTTAGCCGTTTTCAGTAATAATTTTATAGTCTTAAATATCTTCCACAATATAATTATTTTATTTAAATTAACCAAAACTAAATAAAGATTTAATTAAAGCTCTTAGAAAAATTTGTTTGAAAATGACTTATTATTTAAAATGGGATTTCATGTCTAGAATCATTCTTTTTTCCTTCACATATACTGTTATTGATTTTACATAAACACTTTCTTTTTTATGGTTTGCTATAGAATCTACTTATTGTGTAAAAATGGAACTGAATATACATCAAATGTAAAATACCTTTTTTTCCCAACAAAGACCAGTGCTGGTATTAACTTCAGAAGCTTTTGAATGTTCCTTGACAATCTGATGATTATCTACTAATTTTTTTTCTTTTTCTTTAGCAACTCGTTCATGTGGGCAAAGATATTTAATCGTGCCACCACGGGCACGGAAATCAGCCAATAAAGACTGAGTTTCAATAGAGGATTTGACAACATCTGTTATTCTGTACGAAATAAATTTATGATATGGTAGTATTTCTACATTTCTACTATAGGCAAGTCCTTTAAAGGACAAATTCTCATCATCAAAATCAATTTGAGCATCAATCTGATGCAGTATTTCTACATCATTTTCTTTTGTAAAATGCCGTGACCAATATATTTCTTGCGGAAAAAATTTCCTTAAGACACATTTCTTTCCTGCGTCAGTTTCAAGAAATGGAAGAGTTGGCTTAATATTCAGTGAAATGCACAAAATTATATCATCTAACAGCTTGCTGAATGTGTTAGGAACAGGTAGGGTATCAACTTTTAAATTAAATGGTTCATTAGGAAATACATCATTTTCTAACTGTAAATAGGAATGCAAAGGATCACTAAAATCGCTGATAGATTCAGTCTCTAACTTCCTACCACTGTCATCAAATTTTGACTTATTTTTTTTACACAGATTATCAGTTAAATTTTTATCATTTGATTTATTTGAGTCTGGGAGAGGAACAGATTGATTCTGGACATCACTTTCCATTGAAGTAATTTCATCCTTTTTTTCTTCTGGTTTAACCTCTACTAAAGAATCTTCATCTGAAATGTCCATTTCTTCACAGAGAGATGAAGGAGGAAAGGCAAATTCATCCATTAAAAAGGAACGCTCAAGATGCCAGTTATAAGCCACATACACCATAAACTGAACAACTTGTTTAACCTATCAAAAGATTTAAAATAAACAAAGCATTTCACATATTCTATTAAAAGCATTTTTCATACATGAATAATAAAGTTTATCACCCTAGATTTATTCAAATGACAAACATGTAGAAAATTGCAATTGAAATTTAAGTACATAATTAAGCAGCTTGAAATATCACATGTATAGGGGAGGAAAAAAAAATCAAAATTGTTTTAATATGTTTTTAATTACCTTTTTTAACTCATTTCCAGAACCACCTCTTAATAAAATTGTACAACCAAGATTTTCAGGACAACCATCAAAAAACATCAATGTTTTACTTTTCCCTAGAACAAGAATATGAAACAGATTCTTCTTTATACACAGAAGCAATGATTTATTTCTTCTAAGAAACAAGGTTATACAGTTCAAAGTCTTTGATACGGACGTCCATAATCTGGACCTAAAAGCTACAAGCTTTCTGCGCATGCGTCAACACATAACGCGTTTAATACCTCATACACATAATACATTTACGCATACACATAATACATTTACGCATGCGCATAATACGTTTACGCATGCGCGTTTAATGTATAACGGACGGTATAAGCTAGGCTAAAATTATTTAATTATCTATTTTAGCTAATGTTGCAGATTGCGTTGTTCCTTAATCTTCCAATTGGATCCGGCTTATTATTTTTTGCAGACTGTTAGAGCAATTTATAAAAAGTAAGCTTGAACTTTCGATTATGTCAAAAAGAGTTTCCGATTCTGGAGCTGCCAAAGGATATAAAAAGCGAAAGCATGTTTTGATGTACCACTTCCGATACTGAAGAAGTGACACAGAGGTTAATAAAAATGAAAAAATTTCAATTGACAAGTTAATCGGTATTCTCAACACAGCAATTACAGGACTTGGAACAGTGAAACTAAACAAGAAATTATGTCTGTTTATAGAATTAAAGAGTAAAGTATTAGCACAAAAAACGAAGCAACTTAAACAACTTATATTGAAAGAAATGCTTAATAAAGTAAACAAATAAATATAAAGCTTTTTTGGTAAATTTTGATACCCTTTAGATCATAATTGATCTTTATTTCATAAATTATGGTTTCATATTTTTAATTTTATAATTTCTACATGCCATCTTACCAGATTTAAATTGATCATCTATAATCCGGAAAAATACCTAATCCAGAATCGCCGAAATCCCGACGAGTCAGGATTAAAGAGTTTGCACTGTATCAAGATAATATGTATAGTATAGTATCTAGTATCAATATTCAATAAGTACTCTATATCTAATATCAGTATTCAATAAATAGTATATATCTAGTATAAGTAATCAAGGAGCTATTTCTTTTGAAAAACCTTGCACACAAATAATTACATTATGCAAATTTAGTTTACTTAAATATCATTATCATTGTAAACTTTTGTAAAATATGAAAACCTAGCAAAACTTACTCTTCACTACCCTATTAAAAAAGTTAAATGTAAAAAGGATATTTAACAAATAATCATGCCATATTATGATTAACATATATATGTTATTCAGTGGCAGAATAAATACAGTTCAGGTATCATCTCTCCAAAACAGCAACAGCCAAATGAGGAGATGCACTGCTTTCAAGCAAAAAGATTAATTGCAATTACTGGAGATAAAGTATGCATTTTAAATAAATTCAGCTTTCAAATATAAATGCTTTAGTATATAATACCTTAAAAATTAATATTTTTTAAAACTCCAGAAGTCAACTTTGAAATATAAAAAACTGTACTCTATCTCTTAACACTAGAATTCTGAAAGCAGTCATTTTCATCATAATTGTGTACATTTTATTAATTTTCCTTTTAAATATTTTGATAACTTTTGACTTTCCCTAAATATTTACCAAAATGATAAAATAATTTATTTGGCCAGTTTTAAATGATTATTTTTATGCATAACAGTATATACCTATAATTACAAATATTCATATAAAGTAAATAAATATAATTACAACCAGTTATATAATATGTACTTACAATATAATTACTAGTGGTAATGGTAACTAGTTGTAATTATATTGTAATGTACTTGCAATATAATTACAACTAGTTACCATTTTGATTGCTCTTATTCCAGGTTTAGTAAGTAACTGACTCAGCTTGGTATAGCAGGGTCTCCATGCCATTTGTTTGGGTTTTATTTTTATGCCAGATGCCATTCAATAGATAGTTGGAGTAGAAGTGAGGCTTCCCTTCCTAAAGCATTAATATCCCAAACAGGTTTCATGTTTCTTGTCTGAATGTTTTTGTAGGCTTTGTTCTGTGCCACAGTACTTTGTTCGCAATTCTTCACAGCTTATGACCACATTTTGCCATCTATAATTTTTATTCTATTAAACATATCATTTATAGCCATTGAAAGTGGTAATAGTTTCACAAGAATTATCTGATGGCAATTCTCATTCAGAAATAAGTTCCCATGAATAATTTAATATAGGAATTTATTCTATTTCATTTGATGAAGACTATATTATTCCAACTACTATAAGTGAATCCAATTCACCAAATGACATTTCTGTTACTCTCCTTCAAAAGGAAATTGCCATAATATTTCATCATCTGATCCCTAGGAAGAACTAGACATTCCTATCATTTCCATAATGTAACAATTCCAAAAACAAAATTTTAGTGAAAGGAAGTTGTGAAGTTTAAGGATTTAGCCTTAAATGAGAATGCAGTCATGGACCAAAAAAGATAACAAACCTTGGAACAAGCCATAGTACAGAAAGAAAACAAAAGCAAAATAGATGTTTTGAAAATGAAGAAAATCAATCAAAACCATCAAAAATAGCAAATGCTGGCACAGTGTGGAAAAAGGAACTTGTTTCAGCAAATTCACTTGGAAGACTTTCTCAACAAGATGTTTGTGTGGGCCAACTACGTTTGCTAAGAGAAAAGTAATTGACAAGAACACAAGTAACGCATAGAGAATTTTCAAAAATGAAAAAATGTTGCATTATATACAGCTATGCTGTGAAACCGAGGCATATCAAAAGTTGGGAAGTCAGAATTGGAACTTGTCACTTGATGGATTAAAGCTTTTATTACTTTATTATATGCTTGTGATGCTTTGGCTGCTAAAGGACTTTCTGTTTTGAATTGATGATCCAAATCCTGGGTGCAAAATTCTTAGACAAGTTCTTGAAAATAATGAAACATTTATTCTTTGATTTTAAGTCAACCAAATTGCAGAGATTATAACGGTTTATAATCTTTTTCCTTCATAGGTATGAAATACCTTTATTTGAGAATTGTTTTATTAAAGGCAAGCTGCTGCTTTACACAGTATATGCTAAAAAACCCTATGTATCTGGCATAGAACTTTCGCTTTTATCTAATGTAAAAACAAAATACTTTGTAAATGGATACCCTTATATGGAAAACGATGAAAGCAGACTACCTGAAGAAACTGTTGGGATGCATGCTGTTTATCAGTTGATTGAGCCTTTTTAAAACACTGGAAAAAATGCGTACGGACAACATTTTTACCTCAATGAATTAATAAAAAAATTTAAGAATAAAGAAACTAGTTATAGGCAATCATGTAAGAAATTTTGTGTGGATGTAACATAAATATTAATGTTTTATGTTGCAAAAGAGACTGTTTCCATGTAATTCTGTAAAATAAAAAATAAATTAAAAACATTTTTTTGAAGAATTTTAACCCTGCAACAAAAATGAATTTAATAAACTAAATTATAATACATTTTATTGAAAATCTTTAAATGACAGATTTTTTTCCCATTAACTAAACTACCTAAAAATGACAGCACACCGTAATTAGAGGTACAATAAAAATTCAATAATGCTAGTGATAAGGCTTTCTAAAATACTGTTTTCTTATGTAACACTTCTTGTTTTACGTATGCATTTTCCATATATTGAGTTGGCAACTAAATAATTGCAATTTCACTCATAGATGGCTTCAGTTGAATTTTTAGGGTTGCAGACGTAGTACAAATGTAAAACACATTTTGTTATTTGACAGTTGGCAATTCAGCTGTCAATCAGTAAAAAAAGTTTTTTTAATGGTTGCGTAGTTTTCGTTTGGCGTTCGTTGAAAAATGGAAAATCAAAAGGAACATTTTTGTAATATTTTGCTTTTTTATTTCCGCAAAGGGAAAAACGCATTGCAAGCTCATAAAAAGTTATGTGCTGTTTATGGTGACGAAGCCTTAAAAGAACGGCAGTGTCAAAATTGGTCTGCCAAATTTCGTTCTAGTGATTTTTCACTCAAAGATGAAAATCGCTCTGGTCATCCAGTTGAAGTTGATGACGACCTAATCAAAGTAAAAATCGATTTGGATCATTACAGTACAACACGCGAGATTGCAGAAAAGCTTCATGTATCACATACATGCATTGAAAATCCTTTAAAACAACTTGGCTAAGTTCAAAAACTCGATACATGGGTTCCTCACGAACTGAAAGAAACGCATTTAACGCAACGCATTAACAGCTGCGATTTGCTAAAGAAACATAATGAAAATGATCCATTTTTAAAACGACTGATAACTGGCGATGAAAAATGGGTTGTTTACAACAATATCAAGCAGAAAAGATCGTGGGGTAGGCCATGTGAACCAACTCGAACAACATCAAAAGAAAGTTTTCTTATTAGTTTGGTGGGATTACAAAGGAATTGTCTACTTTGAACTCTTACCACCCAACCGAATAATCAATTCTGATGTCTACATTGAACAATTAACGAAATTAAACAATGCAGTTGAAGAAAAGTGGCCCAAATTGACAAATCGAAAAGTGTTGTATTCCATCATGACAATGCAAGGCCACACACATCTTTGGTCACTCGGCAAAAATTATTGGAGCTTGGTTGGGATGTTTTGCCACATCCACCATATAGTCCTGACCTTGCACCATCTAATTACTTTTTGTTTTGATTTTTACAAAACTCCTTGAATGGTAAAAATTTAATAATGATGATGATGATGTCAAATCATACCTGATTCAGTTTTTTGCTAATAAATACCAGAAGTTTTATGAACATGGGTTTATGATGCTGCCTGAAAGATGGCAAAAGGTCATTGATCAAAATGGGCAATACATTACAGAATAAAGTTATTTAGTTCCATGAAAAAATTGTCTTTGATTTTCTAAAAAAAAAAATCCGCAATTACTTAGTTGCCAACCCAATATTTATTTTTATATCTAGAAATGTTGATTGATTTTAACTTCATTCCAGAAAAACAAGAATTTTATGAACAATATTAATAAACACATAGAAGAACAACACTGTTATTGGATAAAAGTGGCTTTGGTATTCTGAAATAATATAAAACATTTTAGACTGATTATTAAAATTCATCAGATCAACAAGTTATGCTCATTTTGGGTAACTCAAAATAGAAACATTTAAGGAAAACAGCATATTAAATAATACACATGTAGTGAAAATTACTGGACTTAGTTACTTAGGAAGTTAGGAACAGGATATAATTCACACTCACACTGCATATCATTTGTAAGAAAAAGGTATTAAAACTGAATACCTCCAAGACTGGGAAATGTTTTAACTTTAAAGGTTTCACAGTGACCAAGTTGTGGTCTTCCAAGATGAGGATCAACAGTTGAGACTATTGCAGCTTGTGTGCTTCTAGCTACACGTTCCATAACTGACTAAACAATAAGACATATCAGTGACAGTTAAAATGTTATAATGTTTATCAGGTATCATAAAGAACATTCAAGTAATGTATAACAATATAACAAAAACAATCTTTTATATATACTTACAGGTTTCACATTAACAGCTAAAGTAACACCAAGGCCCAGCAACATTTCTTGGGCTATACGGGATACAGTCTTCTCAACTAATAAGATATCTGGCTTAAAAACAGTCAGTTTCCCTATAGTATTTTTTAGATATTCAAATTCCTGAAAGGAAGTGCATTTCTTTAAATTTCAGGGTGAGTATTCTCAAATAATTAAATAATTTTTGATCAAATCTTTCATACATATAACCAAATTACAAGAGATAAATTTTTGTTAACTAATAAATGATGCAAATTATAAAGAACAGTTTAACCTGCATAAGAATTGGATCAAGAGATGAAAGTTTATTCCACACTCTCTGATAAGATATTGCTGAACTGAGAAGTAAAATTGTAGGGCTTTCAATCTTTTGCCGCATCTGAAGTAAAAATACAAATATAAATGAAAGCAACATTAAAAAAAGTATATTTAAAACATAAATTATTAAACATGATGCAACCACAGAGTTTTAATCATGCAAAGAAAACAGAACAGAATGAAAGAATTGCCATCAGGACTGACATGATTTGAATAAAGATTTTAAGTTTTTTTAGCATTCTCTTGAGGAGAAAGCTGCAACCATTTAAATAATATAATAATTTATTATATTATTTAAATAATAAGTACCAAAATTTTCGGAAATACACCATTAATGGCTGAAAACTATTTTCAAGATAAAATACACTCTTTTGCAAAAAAATTGAAGCACCTGAAGGAAGTATTTGTTTTTGATAAAATTGAATATGTGTATATGCGTATATACAGATAATAAAATGATTAAAAAATCAAGGTCATAGTACCTGTTCACGGCTCACAATCACCCATTGAGTGTTCAAATTAGTAGTTGGTCGAACTGCCCATGGTGGCAATGCATGCTTGAATTCATCGAGGCAAGGAGTGGTAGAGGTTCCTAATGTCATCCTGCGACACATTCTGCCTGGCATTCATCAGTTGTTTCTCCAGATCTGTGATATTCTGTGGTGCCCGAATCTGGCGGCCAACTATGTTCAAGACATACTCGATTGGTGAAAGGCATGGCCACCTTACTGGACAAGGAAGAATATCAACCGCACGGAGATAGTCCAGAGATATGCGAGCGGCATGTGGCCTGGCATTCCTGTTGGAAAAAGGCCCCAGGATGACGTGCCATGAAGAGTGATGCAACTGACCGCAGGATGGTATCAACATATTTTTGAGCTGTTAAAGATGTACAGAGGATGACTAAAGATGACCTGCTGTCATAAGAAATAGCGCCCCACACCATCATACCAGGGGTTATGTCTGTATGCCTTTGTAAAACAAAGGCTGATTGGGACCGCTGGCCCCAACCTCTTCAGTCATGAACACGGTGGTTATCTGCTTCAAGAGTGAAGTGGGATTCATCGCTGAACACTATACGATACCAGTCTGATGGCAGCCATGATGATTGACTGCGACACCACTCCAGACGACTCCGCTGATGTTGTGGGGTCAAAGGCAAATGTCTTAAAGGCCTCTGTGAGCGTAACCCCGCCTCAGACAAGCACCATGTGATGGTGGACGGTAACCACAGGAGGTATAGACGTGGCTGTAGTGCGTTGAATAGTCGACAATGATACAGTTGGGAGGGGGGGGGGTTCGGAGCATGGCAAACAATTATCCTATCATGCCATGCATTTGTGTTCCTTCGCCTTCCAGAGCCTTCATTTCGTCAGCAATTTCCTTGTAGCAACCATTGCTGCCAATATCTTTGCACAGCAGTGTCTGTCGAAACAGATCTTGAGCAGAATAATAACAGTGATGTTATACCCATGATTATTATGTTACAACCATGTCTCATTATACAAATATGACTATGATGCTTATTATTCAGCACTATATGCTTAGATATGTAAAAAAAAAGATTACATATGAAAATTTTCTTGCTTCTAAGAGAGGATTTTAATCATAAAATGTCATTCGATGCACACATTATAAAATTACTAACCCAAAAAGGCGTTAGTGTAGGAGGACTATTAGGTATGAAACGGCATTTTGTGCTGAATCACTAAAAGCAATGAATTACTTATCAAATAGTTGCCACCAAGTATTATCGCCCTATGTTACATTTAAAGAAATTAAATAACGAAAAATCTGCACCGGAGCCATCGAATTTGAATAATGTAGATCTCCACCCAAATATGGGTAACTAGACTTAAGAATTTTGAATTTCGAATTTGTTTTATTATCTATTTCGTATTTTGTAAACCTTTAATGAATTTTTGGTTAAAGTACTCAACGATTTCAAAGCAAACAGTTGCAACCCTGTACGGAATAAAACATTTTTATCTCCAGCGCACGAGATTGACTATCGGAAATTCTGAAGATATGCTGTATTTAAACATATTTAGCCTAAAGGGGCATTGGCCGAAATGCTCATGAAACGGCTCTTGGAACGTGTATGTGTCTGTAAATGAAAAAAAATGCCACCTTGGGCATAATATTAAATCTGAAAGCTTTCAGACATTTTTTTTAAGTTTAAATTAATTTTTTTTTAAAAATACAATTGATTCGACCAGTTTAACGATGTTTTAGTCTGACAATTTGCACATTTTTCAATATGATCTAATATTCTGCAGCTCACACAAGTCAAAATCCACATGATAGAGTTCATAAACCTAATTTTCTTCTGGTATATACAGTATAATACTTTATCTTTAACAAATAATGATATGGAATATTCCTAGAAAGCTATTGTTGGCAAAATTCATGTTACCAGATGTTAGAAATTTCCTTGAAATAATGTACCTATGCATCTATTTTGCTCAATACTGAGTTTTATAATGATACGATCAATTAAATGTAAACGCATAAAAGATATAAAAATTCACGCTTGAAGTTTTTGAAGGAATATTTCAGACAATCGGATGTGGAATTCGTAAGCAAGATAATATGTCTTCTGCATTATTAAATTTGAAACATAATATGCCCTATCTTATTACAAATATTATTATTTGTAATATAAGTATTCCACTGTGTATTGTGAAACAGCTGTGTTAAATTATTTAGAATTTAAAAAAAGAGATGTTTCAACTAACGGTTAAAAAATTAAAATACCCTAAGCTCAACGTCTAAGCGGTAAAATCATTATAGACGCATTATTTCTAAATGCATATAAAATGAATTATTTCTAAATTAATTCATGTCATGTAGCCTTTACATAACGCTGCTGAAGTTTGAAAAAATCTGATGTAGACACCACATGACTTCCTTGTATGGAATATTATACTATGTGCATTTTTGCTGCATTTCATTTAAACTTATTTCAGATATAATTCACATTCAACTAATTCAGTTCTCACTTTGCGGCAAGGCAAAAATACATGAAACCTCAAAATATCTTCATTAAAAATTGAAAAACATAGAAAAACTTAAAACACCAAATACAGCTAAAACAATTAAAAAAAACAATTTTTTATAATTAAAATTAGAGTTTCTACGCAAAAACACGCAATTCAGCCAGCGGTCATGAAGACAAATTTTTCGGTGCACAAAACTCAAAGGCTACTTTTGGTCGCACTCAGCAAAAAGACACTGAAAGTGACTCAATTGAAAGTGCAGAAAAAAATTGAAGCACCATGAAGGAAGTGGTTGTTTTTGATGGAATTGAATATATGTATAGCTCATACACAGATAATAAAATGATTAAAAAATTAAGGTCATAGTACCTGTTCACGGCTCCCACTCACCCATTCAGTGTTTGTTCAAATTAGTTAGATGGTCGAACCGCCCCTGGCGGCAATGCATGCTTGGATTCGTCGAGGTAAGGCCTGGTAAAAGTTCCTAATGTCATCCTGCGACACCTTCTGTCAGGTATTCGTTAGTTGTCGCTCCAGATCTGCGATATTTTGTGGTGCCCGAATCTGGTGGCCTACTATGACTCAGATATGCTCTACTGGTGAAAGGTCTGGTGACCTTGCCGGCCAAGAAAGAGTATCAAACGCAGACAGTCCAGAGATATGCCGGTGGTATGTGGCCTAGCATTATCTTGTTGAAAACTGGCCCCAGGATGATAATGCAACCGGCAGTAGGATGGTATCAACATATCGTGAAGCTGTTAAAGATGCACGGAGGATGACTATAGATGACCTGATGTCATAAAAAATAGCTCTCCACATCATCACACCAGAGGTTATGGCTTTATGCCTTTGGAAAACAAAGGCTGATTGGGACTGCTAGCCCTGTTCTCTCCAGACACGAACATGGTGGTCATCTGCTTCAAGAATGAAAGGGGATTCATTGCTGAACACTATACGATGCCAATATGATGGCAGTCCAGTCATGATGATCGGCTGCGACACCACTCCAGACGACTCCGCATATGTTGTGGGGTCAAAGGCCTCTGTGAGCGTAACCCTGCCTCAGACAAGCGCCATGTGATGGTGGACGGTAACGACGGAAGGTATAGACGTGGTTGTAGTGCGTTGAATAGTCGACAATGATACCGTTCGGGCAGATCGGCCAGGCGAACAATCATCCTATCTTGCCTTGCATTTGTGCTCCTTGGCCTTCTAGAGCATTCATTTATTCGGCAATTTCCTTGTAGCAACCATAGCTGTCAACATCTTTGCACAGCAGTGTCTGTATGCTGCAGGTGGCGGTCTACTGCTCGGTATGTCCACCCAGCTTCCATGCAGCCCTACAATGCGACCACATTCAAAGTTGTCTGCAAGGTCTTCGATATCATCGTAATGGCGTTTTTGGTTGCTTCTTTATGGAATTACAATGGCAGCAACAAAAAAAGATAAATTTTCCATCTCTGTTAATGGTTTTATACTTTGTGAATTGAGCAATAGGAATGTGCGCTATGATCGCAATTCCTGTTCATTTGCCTTGAAACTTTGATCATTTACATGTTCGATGAAGATGTTTTTGCATACCAAAATCCGTCATGATTGCAAAAGTCCTTCTTGGTGCTTCTATTTTTTTTGCAAAGGAGTGTACATTTTAATAAATTCTAGGTTAGTTAAACAATTCATACATAAATTAATAAAAATAATTTAACTAAAAGAAACTTAATCACCTTTTTGTGGGCAACAGTTTTTGAAAACACTACGCCACTGATAATAGTGCTTTCTGATTTATTACCACCAGTAATCTATAATGAAAAAGAATTTGTTCAAAAAATAATACTTATGGATAAAATTTCATATCTGATTAAGAAAAAAGAAAGAAATTTATACTTTTTTAAACTGAACATATTGCCTTATGTCCATATCATCAGCATCATTCTTCACATCAGGATGAACAGAATTGACTACATGATGAATAATTGGAAGAATAATATCAGCCCAAGATAAAGAAAGCCCTTCATTGCTAAGTAGCTGATTTAATAAAGTTTCCTCGTGATTTTTATACATCAAACTAAAAAAAGAAAAAAAGAAAAGTCTTTGTGTTAAGCAATTGTTAACAAAAGTTATTCTTCAAATTAGAACTCTATTTTTCAATTATTAATTTCAACAACATAAATTAAAAAATATATAAAATTGTTTTAAATAATCTCAAACACTAAATTAAAATGGTTATCTTATAGTCAAATGTATGATGATTTTAATGTTCTCATTCCCTACAAAACATTATCTGATCATTCCCACATAAAAAGAATTTCTAATCAAGGCTTCATTTTCATAGAAGACATTCAGACCTTTTTTGACACTGTATACTTAAAAAATATTTTATTCCTCATTAAATAAATATTATGAATAAACCTAATTTTATATAAAAGAATTCAAAATACAAAATTTTAATATCAATGGATTTTATACCATATATTACATTAATTTCTATGTACTTATTGAATATATTAATTATATTATTTGTCTGCTTATGTATGTAAATAATATAATTGAGTAGAAACTTGATGATTCTTTATGGTGTATACCGTGAGTGATAGAGTTGTGTAGATAAACAAGGTGCATAACAAAGAAGGAAAAACTTTCAGACATGGCATAGACAACAATACAAGATACAATTTTTCTCCTTTATAATTAATTTCCAGGACACACATACTTGTTTACACATTACTATGTGACAAGCTTACTGCATTGCACGAGTAACAGGATGACATAATGCAGAATAGTTTTCCAGAAGATATATTTTAAGATTCCAAGAAGGGTAAGTAGCCAAACTAAAAGGATTATTGGTAAATTAAAGTTAGTAGTTTTTTTTCATGTTTTATACCTGGCTACTCCTCCCCTTCAGATAGAAAAGTTTTTTAGCAAAAAGTGTTAGAGCGTTAGCAAATGATGATAAATTTTGTATAATATATATAATATGCACTTTTTCAATGAAAAAAGAAACAATTTTCTTCAAGGACATTGCCTTTAGGTTTCACTATGTGCCATTTTTTTTAAAGGTAAAGCTTGATTTTGATAAGATGGAGGTGAATTATAATTTAATGCAGGATACTGTAAATTTGTATATCTCAGTGTGGTGTCTGAATTTCTCCAGGTTAGATTTTGAGGCAAATAAGACCTAAGGTAGAATGGTCTTGGAGTTATTATAATCTTGGATAATTAAAATATGGAGGAGGATTCTGCTTGGGAACAGTAAATCAGAGCACATTACTGGTACTTTCCAGTTGTTGAGATGAAGTTGGTAATAACTTTCATGCTACGGAAGTTCGATTTTGAAGTGAGTTTATATCTTAAACAGACAGTAACATACAATAACACCTTGTATTAAGAATTTTATTACTTAATGCAGAATCTAAGTTTGAGTTTTTGACAAAAATACTTATCTGTTGTCCATAACCAAAGTAAAATCATCAAATGTAATATTTTCTGAACTAGGTAAGTAAGTTAAAAATTCTTCTTTTAATACATTCCAATCCTCAAGTTTAGTGCACTTAGGGATATACAGTGACAAGGAATATAGATTAGGGATATACAATACAATTTAAAAACGATGAAATATTTGTCTACATAAAAATCTTTTGTTGCATTAGATACCAGACAGGCAAATTTATCTTTGTTTAGAGAGACAATTTTAGATTTCTCATGGGACATTTTTAGAATTTTTGACCTTGTCTACATTTACAGTTTTGTGAAAGAAACAATAAATTTCTTAATTTAAGCATATAAAATGATATTAAAAGCATTAAAAATAAATGATAAACTAAATACTAAAATTACTCATTTTAAAAATAACGAATTATTACACTTTAAAATTGTAATAATAATAATGCTTTCCGCTGTGTAACTTTCATTTTTGATTTCAGGGGGATGATAATTCACTAGATGATATTTAACTTTTAGACTGACAAACATAATGGTTTAAATATGGCAGAAATACAAAGCAAACAATTACGTGTGCCACACACTTTCGATTCATTGATGGGTGACCTTGATCTCATTCGAAAACACTTTTTAGTACTTTTTCAGTATTCACCTCTCATGCATTTTGGCACAAATGTGCATAATGGAAAAGTACCATGTGCGTGTGTTCATGTGTACATAATGGAAAAATTTCATGTGTGTGTGTGTCATCTATAAACTATTTCTGTAACTAGAAATTATTTGCAATTAATATATCCACCAAAATATGTGGCAGATGTACAATAAATGGTGTAATATAAATTTTGTAGGTACCTAAAGATTCTTTCTAACGTATACAGAGAATGATATAGTTGCAAAGAGTAATGAGGTACATAATGGAGAAGAAAAAACTTCAGATGTGGCATAGATATCAAGACAAAATTTTATTCCTTGATTTAAGGACACATATTTTTGTTTACACTACTATGCAATGAGCACTCCACAATTTTATGTAACTTATCATGACTGGACAAGAGCTCACTGCATTGCAAGATTAATAAGACAATGTAATGCTGATTGGCTTTCCAGATGACACACTTTAGATTCCAGGAAGGGTAAGTAGCCAAATTAAAATGACGAATTAAAAGGAATATTTCTAAATTAAAGTTTATAGTTTTCTTTCATATTTTACATCTCACATATACATGTATGTATATAAAAGTATATTTTTATGTTCTAATTAATTTCAGTCCAAAAATTTCATATGAACCAAATAAATAAAAACAACTTGATGCAGCATAACCTTTGAAATTACGTAGCCTCTTTTGTTTGAATACACTGTAGTATGTTACAACTTGTTCAGCCACTGGGAGAAACAAACTTCTAAAGTGAAGTTATTCAATTTTTAACTCTTTGATTTGCCAAAAGATTAAGACTAAATATTATACATGGTTATCCAATGTTTCGCTAATCAACAATTCTTTAACTTTACAACATCACCTTAATGATGTCATACAAGAACTAAATTTTTTAAGTTTCCATTGTTCAGTTCTCAGCAAGTAATGTAATAATACTATTTGTGAGTGATAACAAGCACTGAGCTTTAAATGTAAGCTAATGAGCTAAGCATGAATGCTTCCTCTGAATGTAATCCCTTATTCTACTATTAAAATTACTCTCTTTTTGAGAAAGAAAGAGTAGAACAAAGTGTTTCTATACTTAATCATAAATAAAAGTTCAATCTAAAATCATAGGGGTAATAATATTAAATACATACAAGGACTGGCAATCTATTGCATGTGGAATGATTTTTAGTTATACAATGAATCAACTAAAAACACAACAATTATGAGCTTAAAAAAATTTTTTTTTGAACAGAAGGTATATAAAAGTATATTTTTATACTATTCCTAATTGTTCTATTGTAATTCCTAAATTTAAGTTTTTTAATACTATCCCTAATTTTACAATCCTTCAAATAAAATTTGTTAGGCATTGGAGATGATGATGTGATTTTTGTCAGTAAACTCTCTGTCAAATATACAGATTTATTCATATTTCAAATAAAAAATTGTAATTCGTTTTGAGAAGAAAATTACATTTACTCAATTTTCATCTTTTAAATCAACTTTTATGTGGAAACATATTTTCTCATACATAAAAGCTGCTTTGACTTCACAGAAAGGTTGGAAAGATTGTCTGCAACTAATAATAATCATAATTTTAACACAATACTATTAAATGGTCACCAATACTTTTCATAAAAAGTATATACAGAGGAATTACTTTAATTTTTCGAAAGCTACTTTTTCACCATTGTCCTCTCGCAACTGAGAATGATGCCATGTTTTGGAGGAAATAATAGACTTCTGCACTGAATTATCTAAACTGTCTTTATTCAAAACTAAAGAAAGGAAATGAAAATAGACCATAAAACACTCATTCAAAAAATTACAACACAAAGAAGTGAATACATTTAATTATTCATATATGCTTCTTGAAATTAAAAATATATAAATCATAATAAACAGTTTATGACAATAAGCAAACAAGAGTCAAAGCAAACATTAAAGTCTCATTATAAAACATTGCTCTCAATTACATAAAGCTAATTTGGATGAAGAATTTTGCCAATTTATATAACACAGAATGATGCTACTTTTTAAACCATTATACTAAACAAATTAAATAAAAAGAATGGGTTTCATACATTGATGCACCTCAAAATTTGTATGGTGTACAAAACTAATTATATTGTTTTTAATGAAATTTTATATTAATATAACTTACACCTGGTGTATACATTCCTCTTAACCTCACCTTGAATATGGCTGGTGTAGCGTAGTAAGACTATTAAAATTCTCAACAGCAGCTCTTAGCATATCAGGAGGAATGTTATGGACATGTCGAGTATTGCATCTTTCAATTCTGCTAAATTGTTTACATTATCATCATAAATAATGCTTTTGAGATAATCCCATAGCCAAAAGTTACAGGGGTTGAGGTCTGGTTACCGGAGTGACCAAGAAGTGGAGAGGTGTCGGCCTATAATCCGTTCATTTGCTAAATGTTGCCTAAATGACTGTGACACAAGTACTAATGTGCTATGGAGCCCCATTCTGCATAAAAATTGTGGTGTCTAAAATGGCATGTTGCTGCAGTTCAGGTATAACGAAACGTCCTAACACTGATGCTAAGTGAGCTGCAGTCACAGTGCATATAAGGGGTCCAGCTGTCAATTGCTCTTCAAAGAAGAATGGTCCAATTATAAACTAGCTGTCGTACCACACCAAACAGTGACTTTAGGAGAATGCAATGGAACTGAGTGAACAACATGAGTGATTTGCAAGAAAACAATTTCCAGAATAGGCAAACTTTTGCGAGTGATTTGCGATCTGGCATTTTCTGATTTCTAATTTGTGGTTTTCATGGATGGATTTCTCCATTACACCAATGGCACACTCGACTTTTATCACCTTTCTTAAATGGTAGTTTTGTTTTGGTCAATGTTTCTTAAGGTTACAACATGTTAAACTTGTATAACAAAAGGTCACGTTAGATTCCGACCCTTATTCCGTTTAAAAATTAAAATTAACAGCACTATTTCCTCTCTGGTGGTGAGTTTTTAATATTTTTTTACAGAGGTCCAGTAGTTTTCCTTTTATGATCATTTCAAAGTAGAACTTTAATTATAACCACCCTGTATAATATCAAGTAGGTAACATTTCTCATGCCATAAATGCATTATTTCATAGTGTAAAAAATCCTCATTTCATAAAATTAATATAGATGCCTCGGTCTAAAAGTGAATTCTGGATACGAGCCTCAGTCCAAAAGTGATTTGAATGGTAAATTATTAAATAATCTATAAGAAAAATAGATAGAAAAATACAGTAATATTTTAGTTAATCAAACAATAAATATAACATTAGACAGTTGATTTAAGATCTACAGTCAACCAATAATCTGCATATGTACTTGCACAATAAATGAAACCATACATTTAGTGGAAACTACTGATACATCATTAACTTTACATACAACCAAAAATTTACTTATCCTTACTTTTGATGCCATGAAAAAAGTTAAAAACCAATATAAATATAAAATTCACAGTTTTACAATATATATCATGCATATATATGAGGATAGCAAAAATGAGAAAAGAATTAGAAAACAGTTCTAAGCTTATATCTTATGGTTGTTCAGCATATATGCTTAATATATTGTCTAATGATTTAAAAACATCAAATACTACTCGGCATGTTATTCATGTAATAAAATATTTTTGAAACCACTAGCTTGTTTACATGTAATTATACAAAAAATATAGCTACAAGAGTTGTTTACAATTTGTTCATTAGTATACAGGAGTTTGTGAGTTTAAATGATCTGTGATTTCGAGACTTACTAATGGCAAGCTACCAAGTTATTTTATTGTTTTTTATGCTATTAATAAAATGTACAATTTGCATTTTCTCTGTTATATTAATTTATGGATTAAGATATCTATTACACTTCCTAACATCATTTAATTACAAGTTTAGTTACTCTAAAAATCTTCAATGCAAGCAACGCAAACTTATGATTAAAAAAAAAAAAAAAAATTCTGGTTTAAATCCAAAAAAATCCAATTTATATATATATAAATTGTTTATTTTAATATTTTTTTACACCGTGTTTAATTCAGTCCACAAAAGATGATCCGATAAATAAAGAAATGCAGCCGTTGTTTCTGCACAGCATAACACACTAAAGACAGCAAAATTAAGAAATATTAATTTTCCTATTTTAATAACATGCATGGAATTTTGAAGCACTGATCATAACACTTCTCTTAAATTTTTGAGACCCTTATTATGCTATAGAAAGAAGGGAGAGAGCTGAAATAATAGTTAACTACTCGGAGATGGCTGATAGTGAAATTATCAATCTTTGGGTCATAAAAATGTCTCAAAAATAGGTGTATGAGTTTAGAGTGACCATGCAGATGTACTGGACAATAATATTGCATAAGCTTGAATTTTGTTGTATTTCAGTTGTGCTATGGACTACTGTCATTTCACTTGCAAAATTTATGAAACTTTCGACAATATTTTCTATCCTATCTGCCATCCAGAACCACAGGCACTAAATCAGCACATTGGTGGTTGGGGGGGGGTCGAATACATATATAAAACATGGTTAAGATTTAATGATGGGGGGAATGAGCTAACAAAAGATATTTATAACCTTTAATCAATGTTCCATCAAATGTATCTTGTATATAATCATCAAATACTTTAAAACGAATAGCATCTTCTTGGCCAGGACCATTTGAATCTGAAAATAATAATTACATTATAAAAACATTAATATAATATACTCTTGCAAAACATAAAACTCCCATGCATATTATAAATAAGAGAAAAAAATAAAAACAAAACAGAAAAAATCTATTTACTAGGCACTTAATGGTAAAATAATTGATGGATTATTTGCCAAAAGAGAGATGTTTTCACTGCAGACATTTTTACAGTAAATATAAATATTTACAATAAATATAAGCTAACTTATATTGTATAAGCAAACTCTATGCAGTAAAATCCTTTCAAACTATTAACATGAAAAGCTTATAATCTCCACTTCCTCCCAAACACTACACAATTAAAGGTAACATCAAAATTATAACATTTATATACTTTAAATTATAACACCTTTCAAAAAACAGCCAAAATGTCTTGATTAAATTTTCAAGTAACAAACACAATGTCATTAAACACTGGATATCTCCTGAAAAGTAGGTATATGATAGGATTTAGGATAATCTGGATGGAAACTTACCACTATTATAAGTACCGTGAGTCTACAAAAATCCACAAGCAGTTGGTTAAATGTTAACTAATACAGCTATAAATAAATGATGGGAGGTGAGCGAGTCTTAACGTAGCACATTTACCAATTTGATCATTCCATCTATGAGATTTCTGGAAATACCATGTGCAAAAGTAAGTGATATGAGGGTGAAATGGAAATGCAATGGAGTTAAACCTTATGCCTGATCATATTAACAGTGGCTACAGACTTCTGAATGGTAACTGAAATTGATGTCCATACACACAGCATTTAATAACAAACTTAACATACCATTTACTGGCACTTGGATTCAAGCGGTCAGTTGCACAACAAAAGGCAACAATAATTAAACTGAATGCTTGCTGCCAATTACAGTGGAGAAAAACATAATATTATGGACTGTAGAAAAAATTGAAGAGCAACATGTGGAGTGAGAGATCATATCATATGTTATAATGTTTTGATAGACATGTATAGACCTAAAAAGCCAAATGAGTATTACCTGCCAGAATGTACTGCTTTCATTGTCACATTTGGCATGCATGGAATTATAGCATAGGCTTGCTTCCCACACCCATTTAAATGGCCCTTATTCTTACTGGCATTATTTTCATCACCATAACATTTTTTTACACATTCATAAAACAGGAAACTTAAGTGTGCCAAGGAAATGAGAATAAATGAAATCAACTGGATGGTTCAGAGCCCTGATATGAACCCAATCAAACAAATTTGGGATGAAAAAGAATGCTAGTTGAAAGTCAGATGAAAGTACTTAAAATTGTCACAGAACTGTTTACTATGCTGCAGAACGAATGGAAGAAAATATTTGCAGACATTTAATGAAACTTAGCAAAATGTCTTCCTTGAAGGGCTGGTAGATCTACATCACATTCACAGTACAGCACTACCAGTTAAGCATTCCTATGGATGGCCAGTCATTAATGGTAACATATTAATGATATGACTCAATTCAAATTGCTAGAGATGAACAGCAGTTATCTCAGTCTTTTAACACACAATAATTTTAGCAAGATAAAAAATCTGAGATTCAATTTTTGGGATACATAGCACTTTTTCTTCATATTATTCTATTTTTTATTCACTTTGCATCAGAAATAAAACATTTTCAAATGAATACTACAAAGAGTATTGTGACAGGGAAAAAAAAACTGAGCTTGGGGACCATGCTGTCTATATCAACAATTGCAATATCATGATCCAGATAAAACTGCATCATGGAAATATATCACAAAGCCCCCCCCCCAAGAGAAGGAGTCACTTAAGTAGCCTACAACTGTTTGCTAGAGGAAGATACCACGTACATTTCATGTAAAAGAAACGAAGGAGGAATGAAGAAATTTCATGCAAAAAGAAATTTATAAGTAAAGAACGTTATTATCATTGGAGAAAACAGATACTTATATCCATCAGCATTAAATAATAATAACAACAACAACAACAACAAAAAAAAAAAAAACTTTTATATTTATGAAAATAAATAACAAACAGAGTCAAATAGCACTCATTATTTAACACATGAGAATGTACATTTGATAATATAGTATATACTGTAAGCAATGTTACATTTTAGCTAATCAAATATGAAATAATAAATTTGTACATGAAATACTGAACAACATATATAATGAATAAGGGGCAACCAGCAAAAATATATTAGCCAGAAATAAAAAAAATAATATCACATATGTTATATGAATTTAATCTAAAAGTATACATTACATACTCTACACTTTCATTTCTAACATTATTTCTGCTGCACAAATCAATAAATAACTTTCTCTTACTAAAAATGTTACAAAACGTATAATTAAACCCATTAATTGATTTCATAACTACTCTAAGGAATATAAATTTTGTGAAATAAAAAATTCCTCTTCCTCTTAAAAATAGCTAAATTATTTCAAATTAAAAAAAGAATTAAGTGGATATTCTCTTTGCTATAAGAAGTGAAAATACAAAAATTAAAAATAATTTCAGGATATAACCAGTTTCTTAATTTAAAAACAAAGTAATAAAACACTCATGCATATTTATTCAAAGTCTTAAATATTAACAGGGCCGCACCAGTTAGTTGGGTTAGGTTTCCTGAATCTTGTGACGATGGCGTGCTGTCCATATCATGCTGTGCTTTAAACACACTTACTCTCGACTCTTTCACATCAAGATCTAAATAAAACATTGAGCTGGAAGAAGAGAGTCTAGACCAAGTTCCACTAAATCTTGGAGTACCTGGGGATATAGGTATCCCAGGAGTATCTTTGTTATTATCTGGAGACAATTCAGAAGACAAAATTATTACTTCCATGTTTTAAAATTACACTGCAAAAGTCAGTAAACAGGTATATAATGGAAATGCATATGCAAAGCAAAATTCACTTTAAATGTAAGTGCATATTATCTTGCCATGAACCAGTGGTTTATAATTAATAATTACTTGTGATTTTATTTAAACCTGTATCAAACTTTTTAAATCATCCCCATCATGCATATATCCACTATTTAAAAATGTAACAAAGTTATCAATGATAGTTCAGTTACAAAGCATCCTTATGGTAAATTACAAACATGACACTTGATAAAAAAGTGTTTTTATAAACCCAATTTTAAAATTTATTAATTGAATTTGAGCTCTTAAAAATGCAATTTTAATTCTAAGAAAGATTGAAAAATATTTAAATGTTTAAAAAATACAATGCAATACACGTATTTAAAAAAAAATGTCCCCACAGTTCATTATAGTAAAACACATTGGTTTGAGTAGCTATGCTAATTTTAAAAGAGCAGTCCCTCTCACATATTAAATAAACTAAAAATTATTCTATATGTTAATTATTGATATCAAGCAATATTAAACTTCATGATTCAATCACATAAATCATTGAAGTAATTAATTATAAATACAAATACTGTATCTTTCATATTTCTTGTAAAAAGTTCAAGCTAGATTAGAAGCGTATTAAATATAAGATTTCTGTATATCATAATGATGGTGGCTTTGCTAAGATAATTGCAATTTTGTTTAATTTATTTTTATGGAAAGATATTTAAGGTATACAAATAAGTATATTATTGATATTTACAAACAGCAATGAAACTGTTGTTCAAACTGCATAATCTCATTAAGTACTAAGAGGGGTGCAAATATTCCTGGTGCACTGATAAGAACTATCTCAGAACTTTTTGGAAAAATAATACAGATGTCATGGCTTTCAAAAATAATTTATTGTCATTCAATACTATATATATATATATATATATATATATATATATAGTATTGTAAAGTAAATATATATATATATATATATTTACTTTATTCTGCTGGAAGGGGAAAAACTGTCCCATCTGTGTTAAGCTATTTATATAAACTTGAGTAAGTAAAAGTAAGGAAAGATGCTCATAATGAATGCCATCAACATATTTAAAGCAAAACAACTACTGAGCTATAAATTTATATTCAATACAAAATACAGTTTATCATTCAATACATTGGTTGCTACTACAGTGGGTTAAACTAGGACTCTGAATCTAAACGAAGATAAATAATAAATGCAAGACACAAATATATCATAATATTTAGAAAATAATAAATATAATTTTTTTAATGTAATGGTTTAATGGTTTGGAGAATAAACTACAAGAATTCTGGCTGGTAAGTAAGTTAATTGCAAACCATAATAAATGTGCAAATGATGATAATGACTCGCTTAAAATACTTATTACATTTTCATTAGCACATAACTAAAAAAGAAAATATTATTCATAACCAAGACATCCAACATAAACCATGTCACTAAAAATCTTTTCAACATTACTGACAGAAAAAAATTAAAAGATAAGTGAGGGAACCCACTATGAAAAATAAGTGTGCCTGTAAACTTTAAGTTGGAAATATACCCATGTTTCTGCTAATACACAGGATCTCTGTATAAGGAATATGAGTCAGAAAGGCATAAACACTATGAAGATTCATATCATTAAATATACTACTCGAAAGAACTTTCATCTTGCCACTATTTTAAATGCTCCCATATCACACAGACACTTTACACACACAAACATCCATGCCTTTGCAAAGAGTTTTGTACCCAGGCCTATGAGTATGGCAACCAGTGTTGCTAGTCACTATACTGATCTGGGTGTCATGGTCATTATGACGATTAGTTGGTCAGCAGCAATTGGATACCTTCAGCCTTAAGTATTTCATAAAATGCCCTCTCAGCATTACAAGCAATTTCTTGGCAGGGGAAGTGCTAATCCTTTAGAAAATAATGGCCATCCAAGGGCGTTTTTTGCACAGATTTCAATATGCCTTTACTGGTGAAAAAAACATTCTTGCAGCAGTCAGGCAATTAATATCTGATTTCACAGTAGTTAAAAATTTCTGTTTATTGAAGGTTGCATAAATATGTTCTGAAATGATGACTAATTTTTTTTTTGCATAGAAAAGCATTCATAATAGTGATATTTATATCCCAATATAGCTCAAAAGCCAGGACGCAAGTTCTTTGCCCTGCAAAGTTAAGATTCAGTTTAAATATTCAAGTACTCCCCTCCCCCCAACTTTTTCCAGCATATGATTTAGAAACATTTGATTTACCTGCTTAATTTTTCTTCATTAAGAATGATTGTTTTAGACCTAATTCCTCGCATACACATTTGAAGACTATTCATTCAAACTTCCTACCTGCTACAAACACGCAACCTTCCTGTATGAAATCTCTGTATACAGTGAAAAGTCTTTAATCCGGATGTCCATAATCCGGAATAATCTATAATGCGGACCTCAAAGCTACAAACTTTCTGTGCATGCGTAAACGCATAATGTATTTATGCACGTGCATAATACCTTTATGCATGCGCATATGCGTTTAAAGTATAATGGGCGGTATAAGCTAAGCTAAAATTATCTCAGTTAATGTTGCAGATTGCATTGTTCCTTAATCTTCGAATTGGGTCCGGCTTCTTATTTTTTGCAGACTGTTAGAGCAATTTTATAAAAGAAAGCTTGAACTTTCGATTATGCCAAAAAGAATTTCCGATTCTGGAGCTGCCAAAGGATCTACAAAGCGAGAGCATGTTTCGATGTCCATCAAATGAAATGTGGAATTGCTGCAAAAAATGGATAAAGGCATATGTTTTGTTTCTCTAACCATTCCGAAATCTGTTTATCAATTTTACGCTGCTCTGCGGGATGGGGGGACGTTGAGGCGCACAATGAACTGGAAGTTGATCTGTCAGCACAATCCTTATCTTCAGGGCAGATGTTTTTATTTTATTCGGCTTACAATTCCTTACTATATGTAGTATATAATCTCAATGTACTTCGTCTTTGATATAATTTAAATCAAATTCCTCGTCATTATAAATATCACGAATACATATCAAATAGTTTTCTGGTTGCAATTTTCTAATTTCGACTATGCGTAATGTATGCTTTACGCATGCGTGCGTTGAAAGAAATGTTTAATAAAGTAAACAAATAAATATTAAGCTTTTTTTTTTAATTTTATACCCTTTAGATCATAATTGCTCTTTATTTCATAAATTACGGTTTCATATTTTTAATTTTTATAATTTCTGCATGCCATCTTACCAGATTTAAATTGATGATCTATAATCCAGAAAAAACCGATAATCCGGATCGCTGAAGTCCCGACAAGTCCGGATTAAAGACTTATAACACTCTGGCTATCAAAAATCAACTAAGGGTCCAAGAAACTTTCAAGTATAATATATCCAAGAAGGAGGATGTTTAACGTAGTTAAAGATATGGAAGTTCAATGAATGTTATATACACTCATGTCCATAAATTAAGGATAATTCGGAGTCATGCGGAAATCAAACTCTAAAATAAATATATCACCTGTAAAATCACTACACACATCTTCAAGAATCATATGCAAATTTCAGGAAGTAACCAGATTACACCGATGGCATGTCACAATGACAAGAGTGTAAGAGAGTGATATATAAGGAATACAGACAAAGAAGTAAAATTGTTCGCAGGCGCTTTGTAAGCATTTCAGTGCAATAACCGAACACTTATGACACAAAGGACGCATTTGGATGATTTTTTACGTGGTAGAATTATCGGCCGTCTGGAATGTGGGCGTACCCAACTGGAAGTATCAGACGAACTTGGAATTGCCTAGAGTGTCATCTCCAGGCTTTGGCAACGATTCCAAGATGATGGTAATGTGAGTAGACGTTACAGCATAGGTCGCCCCAGAGTTACAACGCCGAATGAGGACGGTATTTGGCAGTTACTGCCAAAAGAAACAGGCGGAGCACAGCCTCAGACCTGTCTCGTCAGCTCTCTTCAGCCACTGGTACGAAAATTTCAAGGCAGACCGTGTACAGACGCTTAGGGCAGATTGGTCTATATGCTCGTAGACCTGTCAGATGCGTTCCACTTACTGCAACTCACTGTCGCCTGCGGTTAGCCTGGAGTAGAGAGCATGCATTGTGGGACACCGCAACAGTGGGCTTGTGTGATGTTTTCCGACGAGTCCAGGTTTAGCTTGCAGTCTGATTCTCGCCGGACTTTCATATGGAGAGCTCCAGGTACCCGTTACCACCAAGAAAAAGAAAACATCATTGAACGACACCGTTACGGTGGTACAGGAGTGCTCGTTTGGGGTGGAATTATTCTGGGTTCCAGAACTGACCTGCATGTTCAAATTGGAACCATGACAAGCCAAATCTATCGGGATGTCATTCTGGAACAACATGTACGTTTGTTTCGGGGTGCCATGGGCGCACAATTTTGTTTATGGATGACAACGCCTGTCCTCACCGTGCAAACATCGTAAGCGAATGCCTTCAATCGGAGGATATCACCGTATGGACTGGCCAGCATTCTCACCGGACTTGAATCCAGTAGTAGAGCACGTGTGTGGACATGCTTGGCCGACGAGTTGCAGCCCGTCAACCTCCTCCTACATGTCTACTGGAACTTCGGAGAGCATTGCTTTTTGAGTGGTGTAATATTTCCAGAGATCAGATCGATAATTTGATACTCAGCATGCCTAGGCGTTGTACAGACTGTATTGCATTGTCTGGGAGACATACAATGTATTAAGAATCAAACCAACCACGTAATATTGTTTTTTTTTTTAAAATAGGTTTTTTTTGTAATTTGCTCCAGGGAGAAAAAAAAATCGCTAATTTTTTTAATAATATCAAACATATAGCATCTTTTTTTTTTTTTTGCTCTTTACCTTTTGTTTAATAAATAAGCTTTACAAATAAGTCAAATTTGTTTTGCT